CAAGCTCAGGTACCTGATGAAGTTGAGGAAAAGGACGGCCCCCAGGATGCCATAGAAAGGGCTGTAGGTGAGCAAGAAGCGAGCATAATAGCTGATGGCCCAGGCCAAGTCCTGCACAGAGAACGAGATTAGATGTGGGACAGCCATCCTCCCAGGTGCCGCATCCTGATCACACGTGTGCCCACAGCCCCTCACGCGCCGCACTAGGCAAAGGTGGCCTCAGGACGTGGGGCACCAGGCCCGCGGAGGATGCGATGCTTGCTCGCACAGGGCTGGTGGCCGTCTTTGTTTCCGGGGAAATGCTGAATGTGTGTGTAGCAGGAGGGGCCTGGGTGCTTTGCTTCAGGGAAAGAAACAGGGCGGGGAGCAGGAGACGCCAGCCAAGGAACAGCCCCTTTCTGGTCCCGGGGATTCTGAAGGTGCATATACTGGCCCCCACAGCTGCCCTTCAGCCGTGTCCTCCCATTGGGACCCGGGATCTCCTTCCTTGCAGGACAAAGGCCAGCGATACCGTCCGTCCTCCACGTAAAGGCCCTCCCAGCAGCCTCTGACTCTGCTGGTCCTCTCCACACACTTGATTCTCCTCCTGTCCCCTCTCCCGGCCTGCCCCTCGCCAAGGTGACAACAGCATCGCAAGCTTGCTTGTCTTCTCTCACTGGGCAAGTGCCTCCCTCGGCTGTCCCCACTGCTCTACCCTCCACGGCAGCCCCACGGGTAGGCGCTCTGTGGAACGGGTCCCTCTCTCTCCACTGCCTCGCTGCAACCCGACCCGAGTCCGCATGCCTCCCATCGGTCTCCTGCTTCTCCTCGTGCACCATGGCAACCAGAGCCACCTTCTCAGCCCCGAGCAGAACCTGTTTCTCCCGCAGAGCTCTGCAGGATCAGGGACCACTCTCTCTCCAGCCACCCTGACCCAGCTTATTCCCACCCCAGGGCCTTCGCACGGTTTGCTCTCCCCCATCACTTTTCCTCTCCAGAGACTCAGCGTGGCCTCTAAGTGGGGCTGCCTGTGTGAGTCCCATCTCCACCATTGGCTCTGTATAGCTGTGGGTGACTCATCCAGCTGTGCCTCTGTGTCCTCATCTGCGGGACAGGGAGAGAACCTCCCACTGAGGTTGGATGTGGGTTGACCACGTATTACAACAGTAAGTGAAGCGTGCAAGTGTAAGCTCTGAACGACTCCAATCCAGTCCCTGCACACTGTCACCATGGAGATCTTCCTAACACGCAACTTGGATCATGACACTGCCACCCCCAAAGCCACCACTCGCCCCGTCCCCCACTAGATAAAGGATAAACCCTAGCCTCTGGGTAGGGCGCATGGGCCCTTCACATGCCTGCCCACCGACCTGGCCTCCTCATGCAGCCAGTCTCTCGACCTGGCCCAGGGTCTGCGTCCAGGCTGCACCCACCTGGAGGCTCCTTCTCCCCGTCTGCTTGGCCAACTCATCCTATGTCTGACTATTGTTGTTGTCGTTGTAATGTTTATTTTTGAGAGAGACAGAGTTCAAGCAGGGCAGGGGCAGAGAGAGAGGGAGACACAGAATCTGAAGCAGGCTCCGGGCTCTGAGCTGTCAGCCCAGAGCCCGACGCGGGACTCGAACTCACGAACCGCCAGATCATGACCTGAGCTGAAGCCAAATGCTCAACCGACTGAGCCACCCAGTCCGGCTAGGCTCCTCCTTGAATGCCTCCTCTCTATCAGAGGCTGAGTTGGGTGCTAGGAGCAAAAGGAGGTCCTTCACGAGCCCCGCGTCTGGATGGAAGGTGACAGAAGCAATGGGGAGCACTGGGTGGGGTCCTGACACGATCCTCGGATTTAGGAAAGGTCTTCCTTAGGAGGCAGGGGCCTGAGCTGGGCTGGGACAAACCAGAGGGCAGCCAAGCAAAGAACTGTAGGAGACATTTGCAGAAAGACGACAATACGAAAGAAAGCCCAGACAGGAGAGATGGTGGGGTGCGCGGGGGTGGGGAGGTGAGCGGGGGGCAGGGGCTGGGTTTATATGCAGATCTTACGTCCCATGTGCTACAGCCCAAGTGCTCGCCGTGGGGGCAGGAGACAACACCAGGTCCCGTCTGCCTTGGGACACTGACTTCTACCTCTCGGGCAACAGAAAACTCCTGAGAGGTTTACACATCGGAAGAACACAGTCCCATTTGAATCTTAAAATAGATCCCTGCCAACTGGAGATGGAGGGGTTAGGTTATTTCGGTAGCTGAGACAGGAAATGATGGAGACTCGAAGCAGGGCCCCCAGTCCCAAGGAGGAGATACAGATTCCAGAACGATTTAGGAGGTGGAGGCAGGCACATCTGAGGACTGGTTGGTCGTGAGGAATCCCGGCTGGTCCCTGCACTGGTGCCATCGGCTGAGCAGGAAAGTCAGAGGGGAGCAGCTGGGAGGCCAGGAGGGCACGACCTTGGGATCCAGCGAGGGGTCTTGAAGGCGGTGGGAGAAGCGAGCATTCCGGGTTCTGCTCCAACTTTTCCATCACGTTCATTTTCATCTCTTGTGTGTGTTCGTGGTACAGTAGAAAGCACGTGTATATTGGGGCTGCCTGGGCAGCTCAGTCTGTTAAGCGTCCGACTTCGGCTCAGGTCATGATCTCGCGGTTTGTGGGTCCAAGCCCCGCGTGGGGCTCTGTGCTGACAGCTCGGAGCCTGGGGCCTGCTTCGGAGTCTGCGTCTCCCTCTCCCTCGGCCCCTCCCCGACTAGCGCGTTGTCTGTCTCTCAAAAATGAATAAACACTTTTTAAAAATTAAAAAAAAAAAAAAAAGTACATGTATATGAATGAGGTGCGTGCTTCTTTCTTTTTGTGCAGAGGGACACATGACCACAGGACCACTGGTGTCAGGGGCAGGGAAGCACGGGGAGGAGAACCAGCAGAGGTAGGACGCGGACGCAGATGGAGAGAATCTCAGGAGAGAGTGGCTCGTGGCGTCGGACCCAGAACCTCCAGGATATGGTGATGGGCAACATTGCTGGAGAGTAAACACCTCTCTCCTTGAAGCTCTGACAGTGTCTCAAGCCCTCTCCTCCAAGCCAGGATTTCTCATCCTCTACACGACCGACCGCCTTTGGGGCTAACTCTCTACCGCGGGGGCCTGACCCGTGCGTGACAGGACGTTTAGCAGCGTCCCTGGCTAGGTGCCCACCAGATGCCAGTCGCACTGTCTCCCCCGAGTTGTGACCACCAAAAATGTCTCCAGATATTGCCAGCTGGCCCAGCAGAACCGCTCCTGCGGCGGACCACTGCCCCAAGCCACTGCCCCAAGCCCCTGCAGGACACAAGTCTGTCCCATGCCCTGTGCAGTCATGGACCCCAGGCGTGGCCCTGGATCTTAACTGCCCTGAATCCCCAGCACCGGACCTGACCGCAGTCAGCTCCTGTTTTGTAGAAGGAGCCCGAGGCTGGAGGCCGGTCCCTCTCACCCAGCTTGAACCCGACTCCCCAGCAGGGTCAAGGGCAGGGCCCTGAGGGGTCCTATCATATTCCCCTGGTTCTGCCACCTGATCCCATTGAGGTACGTAGCCTCATTTCCTTTCCTGCTGTCCTTATCAAGTACATTGTCCCTTGGGGAACAAGGACGGTAAAAAAAAAA